GGAGGGAAAACCAAGGTGCCACTCCAGCTGGTAAAACAAAGATATTTTTAAAGTGCAGTCAGTAGAAACAGTCACTCCCATTCCATGTATAATCAAGGATGAAAAGGCCATGAAAAATACCACCGCGCTTTGCAAATGAGAGGTCAATTGAAATGTCAAGATATCAAATGTTAATGGATTGCATTTCCAATGATGGTTGGGACAGAAAACCATATGAAGTCAAGCCAGATGCCCTTCTGAGGAGAAGATGAGTTTTATGGCAGGAAAAGACAATACCAGAAGTCTTTCTAGTTAACAAACTTGTGGCTGATGGAAAACAAAAACATTTCGAAAATATAAAAAGCAGTGGGATTTTAACACAAGCTATAATACCAAAACGTATATCTGGAAGTCATTAAATCTACAGCAAATTTAAGCGTATGCAGGTGTTTGGGGAAAATGCCATTGCTTTCTATTGAAGATTTTTAAAGGGACTATAAAAGAAGAGAGTATAAAGGACACTCAAGGAAGGCAATGTTTTCTTCCCTGAAGCAAGAAGTCAATTCCAATATTCTCACAGTTCTACAGCAGTTCACGGACTACACGGACCACTCTTAAAAGCATTCATTTTCCACTTAAAAAATCTAATTTCTCTCTTACAAACTGTTGTATTTCCTAGTGTTGGATGACATCAGGTTTTAGCCAAATCATTCTTTCACCTGCCCAGATTTTCCCAAGGAATCCATTTGGCCATTTTCATAAAGGACTGTAATCTGAGGCATTTATTTAGAGCGACATCATATCCAGTCCTTAGTCAGAAAGGCATTGCCATGCAAAGAACTCATCTCTTTAATATAGAAAACAGTGAAAAGAAACTAGTTATCTTCCTAACGACTGTCTCTGTCTGACTAGTAGACACACAGCCTTCCTTTCCGAATCACAGAGAGACTTGCCTTGTGTCTATATTCGCTCACTAGTGGGTTCACACACTTAGACGGAAAACAGCATTATCAGTGGCTTTTGAGTAGGAAGACTCTTTGGTCTATACAACAGAGATATATAATATCAGGAATGAAGAACAATGAGTAACCATTTGCTCTTTTGTGTAAGAACAACTACTTGCATGGATTTTAATGAATATATGAGGAAAAGGGTTTAAAACAAAGGACAGTATTTTTTCGTGCACTATGGTGCTCAATGCCACAGGATGTTGTGGGGACAAGAAGTATAAACAGATTTCAAAAGAGCTTTTGCGCAGAGGATAAGTCCATTGATACCTCCTAAACACAGGATGTGTGGTTATGGAAGTGTAAAAAGCTGCATGTAGGATACTCCCGTGGAGGATGTCACAGTAATTGCCGTACTTCTTCCCCCACCTTCTGCTGCTGGCAGACACAAAGGACTGGTTTGGTTGACCTTCAGTCTACGTTAATGTACAGGCTGCCAAGCCAAGTGTATTTGTACTTGAGAGTGAGGCCTAACCCTGACTGTGCCTGGATCTGAGGGGCTCCTGCAGCCTAACGCACTGATAAAAGACAAGTGATGTGGTTCAAGTCAACATGAACAGGATTTCTCTAGGCTCTATGTTGATCCAGGTTCCTGTTGCCTACCCAAGTCTGGAAAAAAATCTGGGAAGGCGATCATCAGTCAGGGTTCAGAACAAAGCTGCTACTGAATTTTAATCATATCATTGTTCTCCCCCTCTTTCGTGAAATCACAGGGTATACAGAAGATTATTTCCTTTGGATGTGCCCTAATCAAAACCATTTCCCATGTAAGCAGCTCTTTAGAACCATAAACTTGTTTAAGTTGTGTTACCTCTTTCAGACTCAGGGATAGGAACAGCATGATAAGGACTAGCGAGTAAGTAAGAAAGTATCTAGGATTTTGCACCCAGGAAATCCCATTTCTACTACATACTCTCAATATAAATATGGATAAAACCAATGTGAGAAAGCAAGTGCTCCTTATATGACAAGGGCAGAAAAGGATAAATAAGTGAAATGCAATGGATTCTGCAGTTATGGGGGCCACCTTTGGTGCCACATACAGACAGAAAAGGATCTTATGTTTTTGGAAAAGTAACTGCACTATTTCCACCCTCACCCTCCCCTAAAAAAAAATCAGTTCTGCAGACACAGAGACTTCTTAGCTATTTTCTGTGTGCTTTTTTATAGTATTATGTCAGATGATGCTATCAATACTTAAAGATGAGTTCCTATGGACATGTTGTGTCTTGCAGTGCTACAAGCAACATGGCATTGACACCAAGCCTTCTGAAGGAGCCAAACGCCACCTGCATCTACCTTGGCCATCAGGAAGTTCACACGAGTTAGTCTAAGCACCTCTAGACACCTGGACATTAAGAAATCTATTGCTTGGCTGCCTTACTGAACTGTAGTAAGGAAACTTCCTTGTTTTCTTCCCTCTGTAAGTGTTAAGTTCCAGAGGGATTCAACAGAACAAAAAACAACACTAAACTTCCTCCCAAACATTAAACTGGCAATACTAATAAACCGAGCAATGGAAAGTAAATAGACCATTTCTACAGAAATCTTCGTCATGCTCCTAAACAAGTATGTTAGATAGCGGCACTATTAGGCCCTGTCCAAGGAGTCCATATAAACCAGTCTTTCAAAAGGAGTGATTTCTGATTCCAGTTTTGGGACACAAGAACTATGTCAGCACAACGTAAAAACAAGGAAATTTTTTTATGCTAATGACAACAGTGAATATTTTATATATTTATTTATATATGTAAAAAATATATCTATTGTAACAGATGTCAAATGCAGTTAGATTCAACTCAACTTATTAGTGCATGGCTTTTAGCCAAAAGCAATTCACATTTGCAGAAGTGTACTATCACATATGTCTTAATAACAGAAATGTGTTTTTAAAAATGTATGTGATAAGTCACATATGGTAGGAGGAATCTGTACAGCTTTCAGCCCTTATGACAATGGAAGCTAACTTTATTTTGCATAGCTGAAGAACATTAAAATTCAAGTGAAATTCTCTTTGACATTTGAAAGCTACAAAAGCAACGACAAAAAGCTAGACAAGCCTGAGCTGTACCAAGTGTGGCTGTGATGCTTATATAAATGCAATCCATATCTACTACTGCTATCTTAAAGGCACTATTTTTACTTTTGCCCTGAGAGGTAGTATTTTAGCATACAATCACAATTGTATACAGGTACCTTAAGTAGTTACATGTCACTGAAAAATACTAGGCAGATTTTTCAGCTGTTTTGTTATGCAGAGTGTAATTAATATGTATAATGGATTCCCTAGGGTACTAATAGAAGCTGCCACCATGAACATAGTGAAAGAGAAGTTAAATAACCAGTTGGAGGAAACATGACAGGGTGAAATATGCACATGTAAGTGGAAAGAGTGAGACTGTCCATCTGGCCTTCTTCCATTCCAAAATGTTACACATAGTCAAGTCCTATAAAGGAATGATTTAACCTAAATCACCCTTTCCTCCCACTCCCAAATCTTTCTGGTCGATTAATCGGGCATTGGTGTCCAGTACACGCTGTTTAATGACTGCAAGGCTCAATATCTCTGTTTTGTGTGGGAAAACTCTATTCAGTTGAGCCATTCCTGAGAATTTGACTCAAAATACTAAAAAAAAAAAAAAAAAAAAAAAGATAAATTATTATTATTTTGGAGTTGTTCCCCGGGACTCTCATCACCTTGCAACTCCTGAATCCTCTAGAATGTGAGGTGAAAACAAAGCTCATTTCACACTCTCTATTAAAAAAAATCACCACCTAACAATGACTTTAATACAGCTTGCACTGCATTTGAACTAGCCCTATAGGCAAGAAAGGTCCCTTCTCTTATTAGAAGTTTCACACGCTATCAGGTCCCTGCTGGATCCTATTTCTAATTTTTATCAGATTGCATGAAACATAGAGTGACTTATGACTACCTTGCATCTTGCCTAATCACTCCAAGGAGTGTTCATACACATTTTGCATTCACTTTATAAAGTGTAAATGACAATACATAATGGAAGCCAAGTGAGAAGTAGAACTGTATTCATCGGTTATGTGTGCTAAAATACAAAGATTTGCGAGTCCTGTCAGTGCATGTTCTTACACATACAAAACCACTCCAGTCCAAAAGCCAGCATAATCAGCAAACTACTATAAAAATAAGAACATTTCCTCTGTCTGCAACAGGAATATACAGTTACTGGGACTTGGTTAAACTGCAATGATCACCTACTGAAGCTAAAAATATGTGTTTTATTGGTACATAAGAGCCCATTAAGACTGGAGTATTCATTATTTAAACAGAATCACTGATTGCTGGTAGCTTTAGCTGAAAATGCCTTTTCTCAAGAGCCAAGACATCTATATAGCAACTTTCTTAATTCAATGATATATGGTTGAGTGTTGCTGCTGGTGCCCTAAGATTTAAGAACTTCTCATAAAATGCCCTGGAAATTGCTCCCTGGTAGCTTGCTCATCCTTCACAGAGCCCTATTGTAAAGAGCAGAAACATACGTGTGTGTATGGTGTGAGAGAGATGCACACACAGAGTGAGAAAGAGCTCTTAATCAACAGGATGGCAAAGCCTTGATACATAGGTGCAAAATATTCCCATGTGTCTAGAAATCATTTGGCACATTCCTAGTTATTTCCCCCCTGTCAGACCTTCTCAAGGATTGCAATTAAAAATCATAATCTTTTTAGCATGTACAAACCTCCCCAAGGCTAGGTGCACTATGTATTGAGTATGATTGTGATATTATTTGGCAGCTATTCATAGACAACACATTAATTTATGGAAACTGGATGAAACTTGGGGAGTGCAATCGTTAGAGACACATGAGAAATCAAAAGCTTTCCTCAATGATACTGATCCTTTTATAGCTATGATTAGGGGCAACTTCAATCCTATTATCTCCTTCATCACCCTTCTTACTGTCCTAGTCTTTTTAGTGATTGTACACCATTACTTTGTTAAACTTGCATTTTCAAATGGATATAAAAACCACTTACTTTACAGGAATGTTTCTCAATTTTGTCTTTTCAGCAGCCTGTAAACAGAAGAAGGGTGGGGGAAACAAACAATTAAGCAACACACCAAAGCACAACCAAGCTGAAAGCAGACATCAACCCATGGATGCTCTTCAGAAATGCATACCCAGCAGCCTGCCACAACCGGGGCAGAGGGCTGCAGGAGCTGGACTCTTTCAGAGAGACAGCGCTACAGGTTTTAAACACTTCTGCCCCAGTTTGTGCTATCAGTGTGGTTTGTTTGTTTTTAATGGCCACGAGTGTTTAGTAACTGCTTATTCAAGGTGATTACTGCATTTCCCGCTCTGAGGTCTGGCCCCTTTGTCACAAGCTGTCTGTCCGTATCTGGAATAAGAACAACAGGAAAAAATAAAGGGAAGAACGGACTCCATTTCCGAAACAGTTTTTATTCACCAACAACAGAAAAGGGCAAGGGATGACCAAATGTGCAGATCAATTTCCTCTTGTGAAACCTTTGAGAAAACACACTCCAAATCATCTAAATGAGTAAATCTTTGGGCCTCTCGGCCTGCACCACCTCAGACATGGAGCCTGGTTCCAGTTTATTGCTGAACCCATTGATCTGTGTACAGTCCATTTATCATTCATGAAAAGAGCCAGTGATCTTCACAGTATATTAGAAGAAACAACTCAGATCATCTGTCAACGGCCCTCTTATTTCTGTTTCCCTCTCCACAGGGATTTCATCTCCTTCGATTCTTCTTGAATTAAAATGTTGCTAAGCAACACAGCTGGGGGCACCGATGGCAGAGCCGCGCCAGTCTATCACACTGGTTAAGCTGCTCAAGATTTTAGTGGAGGTTTTTTTTTTTTAATGCGTCTGTGTCATAATTATGTAATCTGAACCAACCTTACATTCCCTCTCTGATTTTTTTCAGAATAGGTAAATAATGTTTTAACACAAGAGGCCTTGAAATAACATCTTTGGATAAACTAGTGTTGTCGTATCATTTCAGAGAATTCCTCCTAGCATTTGCAGAACCAGACTGTAATAGATTTAAACGTGGAAAGCGGTCAGATGGTTAGTGAGATTACAAGCACGGATAGCAGTGAAAGGCAGAATGAAGACAACTGATCCATGAATCTATTATAGTAACGAAAGTTTTAGTGCTTAATTACCTTGAGAGATATTTATATAGAGCCTACCAAAATTGAAGAGAAGGGTTTTGGTGAGGAACTTTAACCTCTGCTGTGCTTGGGGATGGGAGTAAAATGGTTCCCACATAGGAACTGCTAATATCAGTGGTCCTGAAAAATGCTCACATAAGCTCTTGAGGAATTAAACCCTTTATGAAAACTGACCAACTTTTGAAACCTTAGGGACTTGCGCAACTGGATTCCAAACTTTGCCAGAACGAGTTTTCCTTTGGGCTCCACAATGCAGCTAGTTTTTCAAAATACCTGCTGTTTTGGCACTTTTGCCTCCAATCACTACAAAGATAAAATCTGTGTTTAAATCCGTGGAAATCCCTAATAACGAGTTTAAAATCTGGGAGAAAGAATTAGAGCTTGTGAGAGATGAGATGAGGCAACAGCAATCCTCTGGGCTGGCTCCCAGCATGCAAAGAAAAATGTGATTCTTTCATTTGGATTGTATTTTCCATCTAAAGAGTAAATCAATGAATGCATGATAAGAAACAATTATATTAAGTGTAAGGATTGCTAAATAAAATATTTAAATCTCAGGAAATGCTAAACTTAAGATTGCACAAGTAAGTGTTACCTACCCAAACCTAACTATGTCCTCTCAAACAAGCCGATGATGAAATGGGGTCCCTGCCTCATTAGTGAGATAATGTGAGTTGTGCCTCTTTCCAATGACACTCTCCCAAATCTCCATTTTTCATCTGCCACGTGCAAATGCAGAGTCAAAAGCATGTTATTAAGAAATCTTTCTGAGTAATAAACTACATATAACAACAGGTAAATGTTTCATTTAAAACGGATGAAAACACCATCAAAAATGGCATTTCAGTTTCCCAAGCCTCCTACTAAATGCCAAGTTTCAGACTCATCCTGCAGGGAACTAAAATTATTTTTAAAGCTTGTAAACAGCCTTCCACAATGGCAGAAGTTTTTTTGACTGTACAGTGATACTTTGCTTGACCATTCTATATACCAAATAGCTGGACTATAACAATTCTGAGTTCAGGCATGTGAAACTTGCATCTAAGTCAGTTTTTTTCCCCCCTGAATTATTCAAAAATCACTACACAAAAACTGATATCAAAATACAGATAAAGAAAAGAAAATAGAAGAGTGGAGAGTATATAGGATCACAAGTAAATAATTATAATGCAGTCGATTCTAATACAAAGCAAAGCAAGATACTCTGGAGAGCATGTGCATGATGGTATGAGCTAAACTGTTTACATGAAAGATTAAAGAAGATGAAGATATTTCAGGGAGAACTGGCAATGTCAAAGTCATAGAATATTAAAGAGCGGAGTCTAAACTGGATGTTTGATTTTTGACTACTTAGCTACGTTGATGGCAACTATTTACCCTTCTTTAGGAAGAAAGAATTATAGATACATTTTATTTTCTTGGACCATGAACATTCTAGCACATACCATTCCTTAGATTTTTACATGGAGAATTTCCATATGTTTTGCCTTTGCTACTGGGAGAAGATACTGTCCTAACTCTTAAGAAAGGCACATGTTGGAGGGACAGTGCCCTTCACACACGAGTTCAGTCATATGAGTTTTAAACAAATACTGCAAATGCTCAGGTTAAACTACATGCCAGCCTATTTTAATGTTGGGTGATCAAGCAACTGGTCATTTTCTATTACAAATGATTCAGTTTGTCTTTGAGTGAGACCATGGTGCTGTTAAATGCAGCACCAAATACATGTCAGGGATTCCTTCTGAGAAAGAAATGCAGGATCTGGCCTGCTTTTATTTGTCTTGTATGTGTTGCTCATTCATTTTTCAAAGCGTATTTGTTGCGATATCATGAGCATGCCCAGTGGCAGAAGATAAAGGAAGGCAAAATCAAAGTGACATTGAGTAACTCTACACATCAAGCTTTGATGCAGAAACATATTGTTTGAAAATATTTGGTGTGCAGCAGGTCTGTCAATTAGAGCTAATTATTTTTCTCTGATCAGGAAGAATGCAATCTTGTTTTAGGCAGGTTTCTTTGAAATGTACGTCTTTTATATAACTTCATTATAGGAAAATACTTCTTCCAAATTACTTTTTTTTTCTGGACTGCTTAGCTATTGACTCAAATTGTCTGTGTTGAGTAGTTCTCTCTGCTTTGATAATTAACTTTTGATCATTACCGAATTTAGCAGCTCTAGTCAGATGTGTTCATAGCCATCCTCCTCAACTATTTCAGTGTTCATCGCCTTTAATCTTTGAACAAAATGATCTCATTGAGCCTCCATCAGCCTCACTACTCAGTTAATAATTCCTGTTTCTCATCTTCATGACTGAGTTTGATTTGTTTTAGACTTGACGTGAGCTTTTGATTATTAATTTAAGATATTTCAAAGACAAACATGTTTTAAGAGTTATTTTTTAATCTTATATTCCCAGGCCTTTACAAATAAGAAACTGGTTTTAACTCCACAACGATTCCTAAACTTCATGTATTAAAAGTACTGCCTAGAAACGGAGCAGGCAGGAGGTCCCTGAACCATGATACATGTGCCCTGAGTGGAAGGAGATGCTGCAAAAGATTGGAATGAAATTGGACTGGTATAATGTAATATTCAATGGGTGTTAGGAGAATTACATCATGGGACCTTTGCTAATTTTGAGCTTGAAAACATGCATTAAAATAATTTAGGATGATTAGAAAACGGAAGCCAGAGTGAACTAGACAATCATTCCACTTTAATTTGTAATTTCCTTCTGACTTCTTTTTTTACAATTATGGCCTTTCCATAATTGTGCCTCTGCTCTCTAAGACTTCATTTCAACATCTGACTCCAGTGTTGAGTAAGAAGGAAGATGAAGAATACATGAAAAACAGTAAGATATAGAGGACAATCCATCAGTGAGTATTCGCCCAGGGACGTTTTCCCATGACTTTTATAACTGTGAATGACTCCTACCTCTTATGTTGCATTACACCTGATTTTGGTGCTAGTCGTTTAGCATTAGTTCAAGAACCACCAGTGCTGTGCTTTAATTGATTTGCAGCGTGGATATATCCATAAACTTACTTTGTTAGCAGGTATTTAACTATTACACAAAAGATTAAACATAGGGATAAGCACAAACTGCTTCTAGATCATGAACAAGAACCACAAAATGGGAAAAAGGATGCTCTTCTTTTTCACTATTAATTACTGGCTTGGGTTTTGGATAGAGAGAACCAGAAAAAGTACTTCAGTCAGTACAACTTTCCTACATCTCAAAGTCCTCAGGAGGATGAACTGAAAAGAAGCTGGCTTAAAAATATCAAAGTAAAATAACTGGCATCTGCAAAAGGCAAATTAGACTTTTGGTCAGGTGTTACAGGGGAAAGTGTCTGCTATCCAAAGAAAATATATATTTTCCATTGCATAAGTGAAAATCCAGGATTTCCAGGGAAAACTATCTTATTTCAAGAAAGGGAGATTAGACAAAAACTATTTTTTAAGAATGCCTTCTCGCCCTTTTGATTCAGAAGCACAGATCAGCCACCTAAGGCAGCAATTGCTGAGACTCAGAGTCTCTTAGGGTGAGACAGATGGCACTTTGTGCCATTGAACATGTTGGCAGAAGAAGGCAGGCCTTCGTGCTTTAACTTTTTCCATGAGCTGCTGCAAATCTAACTTAGGTTAATCTCCCAGTTTCTAACCAGCTCGGTATCCTTGCGTGAATAGCTAAGTGACTCAACACAAGTCAGTTTACAACCCACCATGCTGTTCTCCTGTCCTGTAGGTATAGAAAAGACTCCTGGGAGTCTTCTCACTTTCCACATTAGTTAAGTTATGTAAATAGTGGGTTTTTATCTCAATCTATCTATCTATCCATCTATCTATCTATCTATCTATCTA